TTCTCACTTCCACCTTGAGTTCATGCAATACATTCATGCTTGAGCTTCCTAATTTGTGGATTGCACTTTTTAAATTTTTCAATTATGACACTACACTATTGTAGTTGTCCATGTTATAATGCATCACAAACTTGTGCCATAAAAACTGAGAGTTCCATTGCACACTTTGTTTTTGTTTTATTTCAAATTCTGCTCTTTCTCATATTTATGAGCCTTGTATCACATTGTGAAGTTTAAATGTTTGGAATATCTAAATTTTGAGAATAGGCCTATTGCACATAGTGATGTTCCATTCTACACTTGTTAGCCTGATGATGATTGTATATCTTGAAAGTACTTGCATTATAAAAATTTTTTTTAACACATTTGAGTGTACTGTATACATTTAATATTAGATGGCATAATATGTACTGTACATGTCAACCCAATAAAGTTTGCACTTTTATGTCACAAGTAGGCGGTATAGCAAGGAATTGTGCTCTCAGCACCTCTTTAAAATACTGATAGGTGTCTCACTGTCAGACGTGTAATTCTCTGCATTGTGAATTCACAGTTGACATTATGTATTAAACCCAGTGACTGTAAATTTCTAAACTTATTTTCCTTTTATATACACTCAATACTTTTCAATAATTCATACTTATTTATATTTGATAATTTTTGATATTTATTGAGTATCGATATATTGAACAAAGCTCAGTATCAAGCCTAATATCGATACTAAAATTAAAATTTTGGTTTAACACAACCTTAGATGAAAGTTATTTTGCAGCCATCTGTTACTAAGTAGCTATATGCTTGTGATTGGCCATATTGCCAAGCTTTATTCTTGACCTTCTCACTTTCCAATTTCATAATTCTTCTTTTATTGCTCCATTGACTATGTCTCCTATTGAAAATCACCTTCATCACCACTTTACAAATACAAACATCTATGCCAACAATTTCTATATAATGTGTGATTTTTTTTGTTCTTATATCATTTTGTCTTCCTTCCTTTTTTATTATTTTTTATATATTTCTTGTTATTATATATTTTTAATTGTATTTATTTTTGTCATTAATTTTAATTGTATTTTATTGTAATTTTGTTATATGGGAGTGGAAATCTATTGTTCAACAACAGTAAAATAAATAAAATAAACAATCACTTCCTCATATTATGGCTATAATCTTTTAAAACACAATACAGCTTTCATATTTCTAACAACTTTGTACAATAAAAAAACTTCTCCCTTGATGCAAGCATTTTTAAATATAAGCTCTGAAACTGCAATTTCAAAGCAGTCGCCAGCAAAAAAATATTGTACTATATTGTGTTTTTTACTTTGTAACAAGCATTTCCAGAAGATGTAATTATTTACCAGCAGTTGACCTAACTGATAAGTTGACATCATCTATGTGAAGGTCCGAAACCCTTTTTCTGTTTTAGATCAGTACAAATCTAGGAATTTTCCTAGTAAAAGAGAAAAGGGGGACTTCTACGGTCAATGACCGAGACGCTCTCCTCGAATAAGAAAAAAAAAGGAGAATGTTAAACTATCAATAAGTTAAATCATCTCTATTTGTTTAACAGTTATTCTATAGACGTTAGTATCAACAAGAAGGGAATAAGAGATATTTCTTATCACCTCTTGGTTGCACGTAACACGTGGTTACGGCAATAAATCGCCTTGTTCATAGTCAAACTCGACGTTTGATATAAACAATAACTAAATAGTTGACCAGGTTAAAGAAATTATTGTCAAATGATTGTTAATTTATGGATGAGAGCCATCAAACCTACAGAAATTTATATCATAAAATCATGTCATCTTGACACCAATATCAATAAATTGAACAAATTTCTCTGTCAATTGTCCGAACTCGCTAGATCCAAATATCAACACACTAGCAGGTGTGCGGATAAATCATGAATAACGTCATAGTTCTCACCCCCTTGAAATCAGTATAAAGAGGGCTCCCGGCCAGTATCGGTGTGGCCTCCAACTTAGAAGGAACTAACGGATTAACGATCCTCATCGCTGACCACCAAAGACGGACACAGATAGATCCTACGAACTACAACTTAGTAAGTAGAACTCTCTCTTTCCTCTCAGGTGGATTAGGGCTAATTCCGCGAAAAGAATATTAAAGAGGATCAGAGACTATCCTCAGTCGAAATACCCAAGATATAATCCGACTAACCTACTATTGTAATATCGGTTTGATTTTGACATTATTATATTTCTTAGTATTTGTAACCCTTTTATATGATATATACTAATTAAATTTATATTATATCTTAATCATGCGTGTTTACTCGTACTCTGTCAACACCTTATCGACTTATCCGCGACCTCCCACTCGATTTTCGCCCTCCTAAATTGCCATCCACTGACCCTGTGAGCGGGACTCACCGCCCCGATGTCGGAAAACGGTTCAAGCTTTGATGCTTAAACCCCGATTCTCACATCTACATAATGAAAGAAAAAGTGCTGAAAATCTCAGATTATTCTTAGAAAGCCATACATGACTCAAGAACTGCTTGTTGGTCATATCAGTTCTAGAAAGTTATTGATTTTACACATTTGAATAATAATAAAAAAAAAAAAAGTAAAAAATCTGACTATGTGTTGGGAGTCGAAGCCTGATCGTTATTTTATGTTTTGGGCATTATTTCTAGTTGTTATTTTCTTTTTGGAGACTGTTTATGTTTTAAGGATGGAAATGTCCAAGAAACCCCAAAATATACTAAATTCAAAATTAAGACCAATGAATATTTATTTACATAAGTGACCGATCCTGTAACGCATAAATATGTAAATAGGGTAGTGAGAAGTTACACTTGTAAGCAGATAAAAGATGATACACCTGTTCAATGGTGTGGTGTAGCTCTCAAAAGCGGCCTTCCTTGAAGTGAATTGTCTGGCATTCATTTGATAAAGTGATCAATTCGTAAGAGGTGTATTCTGTTTTTTATTTTTGGTATTGGTGGAGATTTAATTAATTGTACATCCTGAGCTGGAAAAAAATTTCTTTCATTGATTGATTGATTTTTTTTGGCTTTTTTGATTATCTAATATATATATTTATTAGTAATTTCTTGTTTATAATCATTATTATTATTACTAGCAAATAAGCCAGGCATTGCTCAGGCAAAAAGTAATGATAGCGAAGATTAAGATTATTACTTTATAGTCAATCTTACTCATTTTCAGACTAATTAGAGAATTTTTAGGTGGGTTAAAAAATGTTCGATTTCCTGCAAAAACAAAAATAAACTGCATCTGCGTCTGTAAATCTCGCACGTCGCTTTATCTTAACACTTTTATTGTTGAAGCCTTAATCTTGTCCCTCTCCCACCTGGGGGAATTTCGAAAAATCCCTTCTTAGTGAGCGTTCTCACAACGTACCCTAACCATGTACCAAATTTCAACTTTCAACTCCTAACTGTTTGGGCTCTGCGCTGATCATCATCATCATCATCCAGTCTCGATTATATTGTTTTTGTCGTTTTGCTTCAGAACTGGCAAGAGCTCCTCCTCTTTTAAGTTTGGGCATTGTATAAAATATAAAACAAATCAAGTTTTTATTAACAAATACACTAAGTACACTTTACACAGTTTTTGCACTTTATTTTTGATTTATTATCACTGTATCACTTTGACTACGCACACTTCACTGTTTGTTTTTATTCACTCACTGCACTACTTTGGAATTTTCACTTCTTTTTCAGTTCTTTTCTTCATCACTGATAAGAAACTGACGTTCGAACCCACGACGGATCTTGCTTTATATACTCCCACCAATGGATAGTCCCACCCATACAAAAAAGGCTTTGAATGGTCCACAATGTTCCAGAACATTCCACAACATTCGAGTGTGTTCTGGAATGTTCCAATGATCTAGGATGTTCTGGGATGTTCCAGAACATTCTGGAATGTTGTGGAATGCTCTCGAATGTTCTGGACTGTTCTAGAAATTTCTAAGGGTGAAACTTCCAGCCCTTATATCTTCAACAGCACACCCTTCAGGTAAAAACGGGAACCTTCTTCATGGATGGGGGATAGAGGGCTACCACACCATATAACTCCCTTCATCATACCAGGATTCGTTTTTGAGTTTTAGCAGCATGCACACTGTACACTTACTTTTATAATATATATTGATTGATATTGATAATGATTGATGATTATTACTGTTCAACCTAATAATTATTATTGTGGATTTTTGCTTATATAAGTGTTATTTTGAATTGTTGTATTTTGCTTTCCCATTACATCCAGGTTTGGTACTTGATTAGACCCTAATTTTGTGTAACCCCACTTTTTTGTGTTGCATGGTATATTACATAGTCTCAATCTGACTAAAATCAATTGTCTCTATTTTATATTTAACTAAACTAATAAATCAGACTTTTAACTCTTATATTCAATGAATACAGAATATCTCATAATATGAGATATTCATTGAATATAAAGAATAATCAATATNATTATAAATTAGAAATGAATTTGGCACTAGAATGAGGCGTTAGGTGCCATCTCGTATTAAAATTATTAATTAAATGTTATAATTATTAATTTTAATACGAGATGGCACCTAATGCCTCTAGTGCCAAATTCATTTCTAATTTATAATCATTAAATGCAAATTTAGCCCAATCATTTACAGCAGTTATGGGAGTACATTTGCTTAATATTGGGTTTTAATTGGTGTGTATATTTACTATATTAGCAGGTTCTGAACAAGTAAGATTCTAAATAAAATATATTATTATTATGTGAATAAGGGATACCGTAATTTATCTCTCTTTTTTCTGTAATTACAAGTTCAAAAATTCCAATGACTTCTAACATCCAGATGTTTTCAATGACAACAACTTTATTCATTGAAAACCTTTGATGTTAGAAATCCTGTATTGAAATTCTTAAACTTACTTTTAAGCATGACAGAGAAACAAAAAATAAAATATAATAATTTATATCAAAAACTTAATTCAAAAACATACAACATACCGGAATCTTAATTGTCCATCTTTACATTCAGGACAAGGTTCAAGAGCTCCAAATGCCATGCAGTCTGAAAGAAGATCTAAAATCTAGTGATAAAAAAATTGTACTATTAATAAAATACTAAATAAAATTTTAATTTAGAATCCATATATATTGTGATTATACATTTGTCAACAGTGAAATTACAACAACATGAGAAGGGCACATAAGTATGGAAATCAAAGGAACAGGAAAAACAGGTAAGATATACAGTCAACCCCCCTATAAGATATAGATACGTTCCATTTTTTAGGAATCTGATTTCTTACGAATCCTTCCAATCACAACCCGACACGTGTCAAGTTTACAGACTACGGCTGTTTGAAAGATTTTCTTCATAAAATTAATCAATTCTAGACTAATCCGACTCAACATTTCCAAAATACGTATATTTTTTTTTGGGAATAATCCGTATAAACTACGCTATAAACAAAAAATTGTAGGATTACTTACCGAGTGTGCACCACCATTGCTAATGCTTGTTTTTGTCGCGGAGGGATGCTCCGCGACGAAAACAAGCATTAACAATGACAAAAGTTTTCTGATGACTTATTTTTCTGCGAAAACTTTGTTGAACTTCGGAGACATCATTAATATAAATAATTTTTATCGCCGTTGAATAAGAAATGTTTCTTTCACAAGAAATGTATAAAATTACACTTAAATTACAAATGTATTAGACTTACGATAGCTAATTTACATACTGTACAGACGATAGTTAGCGTAAAATCTCCGTAGCATAACGCCACACGGCGGAAAAAATATATATAATTATAATAAATTACAATAAATTAAGTTAATATATATTTATATATACAGTATATAATTTATATATAATTAATATATAATTATATGTACAGTACCTAATTTATATATAATTTATATAATACTGTCCAGACGATAGAAATCTCTCCGTAGTTGGCGCTACGAACGGCGGGAAAGTAGTTCGGCTGCCCGATGACGTTTGAGGTAATTATAGGGGTTTTTTTACTGTTTTTTACGGATACTGGTCACAATTTTTTTGTAGTTTTATAGGAATCGTAATTATAGGGGGGGTCGACTGTACAAATAACCAAATATTTTACCCAACTTCACTGTTAATATTTCTTTCTAGTTTAACCAAATGTTTGTGTGTATAGCTCCAACCACTAACTTGTGAAAGGAGCTTTAAAGGCATAAAAGTTTTCACATAAGATAGTTTGTCATCACCACAAGAAGCAAAAGTAAAGTAAAGTAGGTAATGAGAGATGATCATACAATGTCTCATGTACAACAACATATGGGATATCATCTATTGTCAGAGATTGTGTGGGATAGAATCCTTAAACATTTGATTATCCCTGCAAACTATCATAATATGTAAGGACTGGGATGTGAGCACCATTTAATGTTGTGTATTGCAACAGTCGCAAGGACACCAATAAACATGACAACAAAGAAGTTGGGCACAGCATGAATCTCTGTACAGAACGATCATCATATCATGAGAATGGTAGTAGCAGGCAGGCCCTTTTGCGACTGCAAGTGAAATTAGAAGTCATTTACTACACACAGGAAGTTCAACTGTATCTACACAGATTGCTATGAGGCATTTGCATGATGTTGATCTCTGAGCCAGAAATCCTGCTTCAAGTATTCTGTTAAACCTAGGTCATCACACTGAGCACCTAGCTTAATATATAGAGCACAATAAAAATAAAGACACATCTTGTTTAGTGACAAATTTTACTTTTGTCTCAGATGTTAATGATAGAGAATAGCAGGAAGACAATGTCAGTTATGTCAAACAGATCTATACAAGGAAATGCCATAGCAGTCCAACTCTTAAAATTTTGGTGTGGAGTGGCCCTCTTCTTTATATCCACAAATATTGACAGCTCAACATGTTGATTTGGTCATGCAACTGATATTAGAACCATTCTTGAAGTGTACCAAGCACTGTTTTCCAACATGCCAATGCTAGAGTACATGTTCTTTGTGTTATTGTGAATAGTCAGTATGGTCTCAATGTCTTTCTATTGTCTACTGCAGTGGTTCCCAACTTATTTTTATTGCATAATCTTTTTACCTTAGTAAAAAACCCTGACAATTTTTTTATGATTATAGATAAAATAACAAATAGAAACACAAAACAATTTATTAAAAAATGCAAAAAAAAAATTAATAATGGAAACCAAATATTACTATTGATACTTAATTCAAACTGGTCATTAATGTGAAGGGTTAAACTTTTCTTCTTTCAATACTTTAAACAGTGCTAGTGCCTGGATTTGTATCTTTGTTTATATCCATCTTATCAGGTTTCTTGTCACTAAAAACATATGAAGTACTTGCTACATTTTTCTTCAAAACTCTTCTCTCAGCCAATGCTCCGTGATTTTTTAATTTATGGTGTACAGAATACTAAAATCACTGTAAATTTATATGATTCTCACTATATTTTTATATGAAGAATATTTAAAATATTGCAAAATGATCGCAAAATCTAGCACTTCAAACAACCTTTACAGCTCCAGTGGTATGTGTTTACACCTTAGCAAATGTTTTCAACCTCATTGAGGTCTTCATCAGGCTACTTTAATTAGGAATTCGAATGCGTTTGGAACGGAACATATACGATTCAAATTTATAAACAGATTATGAACAGAATCGTATACATTCCGTTCCAAACGCGTTTGAATTCCTAATTAAAGTAGCCTGATGAAGACCTCAATGAGGTTGAAAACGTTTGCTAAGGTGTAAACACATACCACTGGAGCTGTAAAGGTTGTTTGAAGTACTGAATTGTAACTCCTCTAGTGTTGGAAGACGTTTATTTCTTCTATAATAATCTTTGAGTGATATGCCTGCTTGTATGTTGTACCATTGCACAACAACACACTACAGATGATGGGACATTAAATTATTGATATTTGCATTGGCATATTCATACATCATTAGACTCAACAGATTTTATTGGCAGAACCATAGGGTTCTGCAGAACACAAGTTGGGAACCCCTGGTCTATTGCATTCTTAGAGAATATCTGGATCATCATCATTTGGCAACTGAAAAAAGAAAACTGCTATCTGCTAAACCGAGTATAGTAGTATATATATATATATATATATTGCAGCACACAGTGCACATACTCATTACTGAATAATCTTAATGAATTGCTATCCAAACAAAAACATCTCAGAGATGTAAAAAATTGCACTACGTAAAAAGTTATGATTTTACTTAGTAAGTTCTTATCTTTAGCTTATCTTTACCAAAGAAAAATGCCTAACAAAAAAAAAAATTTGACTGTCATCTAAATTTTTATAATTTTTTACTTGAAACAATATTTTTACATCTTAGATGTTTTTATTTAGATAGCAATTGTTTTTGTTTAATGATTATGTTATTACATCAAGACCTTAAATAATGGTACAGTCAACCACCCTATAACGTGCGTTCCTATAACGTAGCAAAAAAATTGTAGCAACATACATATAAAAGACCTCCTAAAACATCGTCACCGACTCGTTTCGCGACAAGATTGATAGAATCTGGACCAATAGTGGATGAGCAGCCAAACTACTTTCTTCCGCCCTGCGCCACGCTACGGAGCGGCTAAATTGAGTTTGCTATCATCTGTACAGTATTATATATAAATTAGGTACTGTACATATAATTATATATTAATTATATATAAATTAGGTATTGTATATATAATTATATATTAACTTATTGTAACTTTATTATAATTAAATATATAATTTCCGCCGTCTAGCGTGGCGCCACGCTACGGAGATTTTTACGCTAACTATCGTCTGTCAGTATGTAAATTAGGTACCGTAAGTCTAATACAGTACTGTAATTTTATACATTTCTTGTGAAAGAAACATTTCTTATTCAACGGCGATTAAAATTATTTATATTAATGATGTCTCCGAAGTTCAA